TATATATATATATATATATATATACTATTGCCGAAGGTACGGCCCACCGCCCACAGATCGCACGGCGCGCGGGGAGTGGAGCATAAGCGCCCTGCACATCGCCGCGAGCCTCTAAGCTCGAACGGCGCGGTGCGCCTGCTAGGCCATCCCTACTCTCCGCGTGCGATCGGTGGGCGTTACCTTCGACAATAGTAGGGCTGCATTATTTACCAAATTGTCATTTACCAAATGTTAAACAAGGATAAATGAAGTATCATGCGTGAAACGGAACGCAGCCTAGATCGGGCGAATGCGTATATTCGGCTATCTTTAAATGTTAATATCTCGTTAACTCTCTATTGTGAGCATTGCAAAATGATAGAGAACTTTTCGATTCAGTTTAGTCCGCTTTACTTGTTCAGGATGGGTGGGGCCAATTTGGAGCCACCATGTATATAGAGTATCTTACCTAACTCGAGCGTCTGAAATATTTTGCTTGGTTTTTATGATAGGAAAAAATGTTTCAGATAAAAGTGGAACAGTTTCATGGGGGACATATTTTAGTCATGTTTTCTTTCTTCTAGGAGGCGTCAAAAAGATGAGGGTCACTTCCATTTTTTTTAAAATGGAATTGTATGATTTTTTTATATAATATGATTCCTCTAATTATTCTGCATATAAAAGTATTAAGGTAGTGACATCAAAAAATAATAATTTACGAGATATTTTATATTTTATTGTGGCACAATATATTGACATAAAGAGATATTTTATAGTGACATAAAATGTTACATAACTATTAAGGTTTTGATAATCGTATCTTGATACTTTTATGAACAGAATAATGAGATGAATCAATTGATGAAAAAAAAAAACACATGCTTATTTAAAAATCCATTTTACATACATTTTTTTAAAAATAATTTTTTAAATAAACTGTGTGTTTTCTTTCCATCAATTGATTCATCTCATTATTATTCTGTTCATAAAAGTATCAAGATAAGATTTTCAAAACATTAATAGTTTACGAATTATGTAACATTTTATCAATACATACTACAATAAAGTATAAAATATCTCATAAACTATTGGTTTTTTGATATTTCTATCTTAATACTTTTATATATAGAATAATTAGAGAAATTATACTATATAAAAAAAATTATATTCAATTCCATTTAAAAAATGGAGGTGATCCTTGTATCTTTTTGGCGCCTTCATTTAGAAGAAAGAACAATATGACCAAAATATGTCTCCTTTGAAACCGTTCCACTTTCATCTGAAATATTTTTTCCTATCATAAAAATTATTAGATATTTCAGATAAGAGATATTTCATATGCGCAAGTTAGGTGGGAGATCTTGTATTTTATAGTAAAATAGCATTGTTTTTATTTTATTTTATAAATAAATGACATATAGGTATGTTTAATAAGTTTTTTATATTTTTATGGTCGCTGGCATACCATATAATAGTGTAATATCCAATTAAACGAAGCATCTCATTAATTCTGCATGAAAAGGTTTGTGCATAATACTTTTCACACGTGATATAAAATCGAAATATATAAATGTAAAAGAATTATTTTTACGAAGTTATTCTCATATAAAATTGATATTTTTCTTGAATGCAATGACAAGACATTCTTTTAGTAATTCAAAAAAAGAAAATGAATTTACTTTCATTTTAACGAAAATATTTTAAATTAATGATTAAATTATTCTAAAAGATTTGAAAGTTCTGAGACATATATTTCTTAATGGCGTATGTGAAATATCTTAATATCCTTTTAGATAGCCTTTATTCTACAATAACATTCAATTTTCGTATCGTTTCTTTTCTTCTGATTCTCAACAAGTTTATATAGCTAACAATACGTTCAACTGATCGCAAGCATGTCTCGGGAAGACAGCTAAACTACCGACGAAACTCACTATGAACATTGTCGGGTCCTGCAGAATCAACACGATTTCATTCACAGGGCTAAATATTGTATTTATCCATTATATATAATTTTTTTGTAAATCGGAGAAGTTGTCGAATATGTTGTCAGTTTCATTGTTGTGATGGTTGTTGATAGTTTTCATCGATTTTCCAAAGCTGAACAGGAAGAAACCGCCCTATCATTATCCCACAGATCTTGGCGACGAAACGGCCGAATTGCATGTTGCAATATCACTTTATCTTCGTTAATCTTTTGTACGAGATTTCAATCTATTTCCGTCGTCTTGTGAATGTCATCGCTGTGTTTGAGCAATACTCAATAATGTTTTGAGCTTATAACTGTGAAACAGTGATCCTACATATATTCTATTTTCTGCCTTAAATAACAAGCATGAGATTGTTACGGTTGCTGTTATATTTGAACAAATGAAAATTTATAATATCATGATTTTATATACTGAACTCGATGCATTTATTTATGGCTTTGCATCAATTGGTTTGAGAAACCATTAATTAAATTGTAAATTGTAATCAGTATGTTTCTTTAGTTTGTGCCTTCTAATGCATATTTGGAATTTGACATGATCGCTACACAAAAGCATATACTATCACGCAGACACTCATTATAAAAATACAAAGAAGTGTCTGCATCAATCTTCAGAAGAGTTTGATAGATCTAATATTAAAAAATTACTTTAAGAGGGATGTGTATTCGATTAATATAATTATTCATCCAGAGATTCTATTGTCAGAAGTTTGATAGAATATCGCATGTTATAAAGAATGTAAAAATAGATTTGCAGAATTGAAAGTGCTTTAATTAAAAATTTTTTTTATTTGATAATGTATTTTAACATATTTCTTATATTGTTTAATAGAATAAATTTTTATTATTTATTAATGATGATAAGATTAAGTTATTTTGAATTAGAAATTAATATAAATGATAAAAATATGATTTTGAAACATAATTGTATGAGGAAATAATCTAAATCTTATCAGTAAATTTTTAATGTTTGTTTTCCTATATTTCCATTTTCCACTTAGATAATATACTTACTTGTAATCTTTTATAACAAACAATCAATATATACAATTACAAACTGCAATCACCGTATTTATTCAGTTCAACGCTTCCTACTATATGCTATCAATCTATGTTTAGCGTGGTCACTTTATGAAAGTACGTAATGCGCTCTCACAAATGGACAGTCATTGTACCAGAGTTGAATGTAAAATAGCGCCTAAGCAAGCCCTCGAAAAAGTTTTATAAACAACCTGATATTATACTTGTTTCGAAAGGGTTACATTTCCGATCAATAACTGTTTGTCGCGAATTTATAGTACCAGTTATGGAAAGAGAATATCGCGTGTCACGAAGAGAATAAATTCGTAAAAATGATGGTATTTAACTATATCTGATATATTTGTCTTTATTCGTTATATGCAGTCTTATTGTTAAGAAGATATAATTTCTATGTATATGAAAATTAAGCCTTTATGTTTTTTCTTATTTGTATTATTTGATCGATTTTCTATTTCTTATAGAAAATTAGTACTTTCAAATGGAAATTATCATAAGCATGAGAAAAATCATAAGATATTGTATTATATATATTAAAAAATTATATATTAATGACTCATTATATCGATTTTGACGTAATCATAGAATTTATTTATTAATTTTCATTGCAATAGTGTCTCTCTCATACAGAATAGAGAACGTCTATTTCTTTGTAGTTTTCTATAAGAATTTTATAAGAATTTTATAATTGTATAATATATCTGATATTTTTATGTCTATATTCTTAAGATTTGTATATACATAAATATATAATCTTTTTATCAATAGACCAACAGAATATAAGCCTAGTCAACATTGGAATTCTTTATAAGAATTTTGTTGTGAAGGGAAAATGATTGTAAATGTTTTCTAAAAATCTTTGTATTAATGTCTTTAAGATCACTGGTTTTTAATTTCAAATTTGTGCAATAAATTATTAAATCTTTTTCTCAGGTTACATAATTTTAATAATTTGTTGCTATATAAAATATATAATGTATATATTTCTTAACTTACATTTCATGTAACTACTTTTTACATAGTCATTGTTCGCAAAAAATTTAAATAGACCATGGAAGTTTTAATTACCTGGAATAACAATATACCTACTTGTTTCCGCAGAAAGTAAAAATAATATATATTACATTTTAAAAGTTACAAATTTATAGATTTATTAAAATTTGACATTAAATTTAAATACACGCGTAATAGAATGTGTGAATGTTTAAACATAATGTATAATTTAATTGGACAGTACAATTGTTGTAAAATGATCATAGTTTGAAATAAAGTACAAGGAAAATATCAAAGATACCAAAAGTTTTGCTGGTTATCACTATGTTTTTATCTATTACTGGCATTAGCAATAGATAAAAATATGGCGATAATTCGCAAATCTTCTGGTATCTTTGAAACTAATACCTGTGAAAGCCTAAAAAGCGTTATAAGAAATGTATAATTCATTAATCAAAAAGAAAAATATTTTTTAATCAAAGGAAGCAACAGTATATGTGCATTACTTACATCACCAAAAGTTGCGATGGATAAATGGAATAACTTTCCTGCTGTGATTTTAATTACGTTATTTGATCGAGCGATAATCAGAATGAGACCCCGTGCAGTTTTGTGGTGTAGATTATACCAGTCAGTCATATATGCCATTTCTCCAACACGTTTGCACTAACAAATTGACAGAAAATTTATATTTTCTATGAAAAGAATTTGACAATGTAAATTAATATGATGTTAAAGAGAAATATTTGGTTTCATTAAAAGTTAAGTAGGGGAAAGTAGGGATAAGACAATCTTAAGATTTATTGATCCTTCTTTATTTCTGTGATGACATAAAAAGAATTTTTTTTTTCAGATTTACTAAAACCTTAGTTATCATATGTAAAATGAACTATATGTTAAATAAATAATTAGATTTTTGGAAAATTCATATTTTAAGAATACGTCAATTTTATAATCTTGCTCACTACCGAAAGTCATCTTGCTTGCAATCGTTGTGTTTAATAAAAATGTTACTTGCAATTCATTGTATTCATTTAATAAAAATATTGCAAGGTGAATAATAAAAAATATTGTTATATTACTCTATGCATTCTTATCTATACTATACTGTGGTTTCATAATAAAAATAAAAATATTGTAATTATTTTATTATTTATAAACTAATAGCAATGAATCACATATGAGTGCATAATTTCTTATTATATTATCTTCTTTTTTGAAAGTATTGAAATCAAAGAATACAAGAGATGAGATATAAGAAATGATTTATTATTATTCAAAGCTTTTAATGAATTTAGTACCGTCAACCGTTATTAATTTGTAATGTAACTAACATTAAAAATTGGTTATTTTTTCCACTTTGTAATCTTATCCCCCTTTCCCCTAATTAATTATATTATTTTTTTCTGTAAATATATTATTATACGCTTTTCTGGCTGGCTACGTCTAGCAGACAAAACAGCTCAATAAGCGTTCAGTGATTATTTACAATTATATAAATCCTTACTCTAATAACGTTTTAAATATAAATCCATTAAAATATTAAAGACATGAATCAAAGACCGCATTTGTTTATTTTGCAATTTGGTTTCTTCGCGCTAATAGGAATATATTTTTAGATCTAGGGGAGTAGTTCTACTTCAGCAAAAAAAACTTCCACCTGCATTAAAATATTGTATTGTACGCGGTCATTGACTGAATTACCAAAAAATATTAAAATCTGATATTTCTTGGTTTCAATATCTTTCTATTCTCGACCTGTTCTGTAATAATCTCTCCAATGTAGCAAAATATAAAAATATTAAAACCCATCGATAAATATATAACGACATAAGATGTTATTTTGGCGGTATCGAACGTTTCCCAAGCCTAAAAGTTAAAATAATTTTATTTTTATATAGTTTTCAGTACATATCTTATAATAGAATAGCAATATATAATATTTGCGTTTCATAAATGAATGACATTTAAGTGTATTTTATAAGATTTTCAAATTTTTATGATAGTTAGCCTACCATAATAGTATAATATCCCATTAAACACAAGATTATCGTGCATCCCATTAATTCTGCAAGAGAAGCTTTGTGCATAATACTTTCCACTCGTGATATAAAACTGAAATAAACGTATAAATGTAATAGAACTTTTATTTTTCGTAAATAAATTATGTACATGTTGAATTGATGCTTTTCATGAAGACAATGATAAGATTCTCTTTTAGTAAAATTTAGAAAAAGAAAATGAATTTATTTTTATTCTAACAAAAATAATTATTTCAAATGATTAATTAATGATTAAATTGTTATAAGATCTGAAAATTCTGAGATATAAGCTTTGTTTATTTTTTAATAGTGTTTGTGTATAAAATACCTCAGTGTTCTTAGATGATGTTCTACGATTGCGGTCAATTTTTGATTTGTATCACTTTTTTTCTGATTTTCAACAAGTTCATGTAACCACGCATACAGCACATTCAGTTGACCACAAGCATGTTTCGCGAAGACAGCAGCCAAACTGCAAGCACCAACAGTAGAGAAACTCGCTACGAACATTGTTACATTTTGCAGAATTAATGCAATTTCATTCACAGGGCTAAATCTCGTATCGATGATCTTGCTGTAAATCGGACAACTTGTTGGATGCGTCTTGAAAGTCTCGTTGCCAATGATGATGGTTGTAGTTTTCATCGATCTCCCTAAACTAAATAGAAACAAACCGCTCTGCATAAACACCGCACAGATTATGACAATGAAGCGGCCGATCTTGGCATGTTGCAGCATCACTTCACGTTCGTCAATCCTTTGTATGAGATTCCAATCTGCTTCCATATGTCGTATTAATTTGTCAATGTCATGACTACGCTTGAGCAGCACCCAGTAATGTACTGAGCCCATAACTCTGTGAAGCAGTGGTGCCACGGCGTTCAGTTTTTGCTTGATATTGTCTGCTTCAAATAACACATATAACAAACACGGTATTGTTGTGACTGCTATCACGCTTGAACAAACAAAAATTTGTAGTAATATCATGATTTTGTACACTGAACTTGATGCATTTATTTGTGGCCACGCACCGATTAGTTTCAGAAACCATCGATTAATTTGTAAACTGTAATCGATATGTTTTTTTGATATGTCGCTTTCTGGCGCACGTTTGAAATTTGACATGATCACTGCACGAAGGCACCCGATGTACTGCCCATACTGCCATAAATAGACAACTCATTGTGCCAGAATATGAAGAAGCGCCTGCGCCAATCTTCAGAAGAGTTTGGTGATCGGTCTAACGTTACAAAGTTACTCTGAGAGGGACATATATTCAATCGATATAATTGTTCGTCCAGAGCTTCTATTCTCTAAAGTTCGAGAGGATATCGCGTGTTATAAGGAGTATAAGGATTAATTCGTAGAAGTGATATTGAAAGTGTTTTAATAGATTTTTTATTTGATAATGTATTTTAATAATGTATTTCTTATATTAATTAACCGAATAAATTTTTAGAGTTTTATTGTTTAATAAGATGGTAATAAGAATTAGATTAGTTTGAAATAAAAATTATTATAATTGAGAAAAATATTTTTTATGTTATTGAAGCATAACTATATGATGAAATGTTCTAAAACATATTAATCTTGGCGGAAAGTTTTTACAAAATACATAAATTGAAACAATATCTTAGAAATTCTTAGTTTTTCGTAGATATTCATAATGAGACATAGAATAGCGTTATTTGTTTGAAAAACCAAAAAATGTTTCGTCCTCAAACAGTGTTTCTACGTCTCTAAGAATATCTACGAAAAACTAAGAATTTCTAAAACATACAGATCTCACTCTGTATCTCATTACAAATATTTAGGAAAAATTAAGAATTTTTAAGATCTTATCTTAATCTATGTAGTTTTTGTATACTCTCATATAAATTTTTTTCTGTCAAGAAACTTTTTAATTTTTATCACCGCATTTCCATCTTTCTTTAATATGACAATACTTATTTATAATCATTTATGAAAAACAATCAATGAAATTCAATTGCAAATTACATTTGTCATACTTATTCAACGCTCCTTGCCACACACTACCAATCTGTGTTTAACATGATCACTTCATGAAAGCACGTTAGACGCTGTTACAAATGGGCAATTTGTTGTATCAGAGTTGAATGTGACGCCTGAACAAACCCTCGAAAAAATTAGATAAGTAGCCTGATATTACAACTGCTTCGAAAGAGTTACATGTCTGATCAATAATTCTTCGTTGCGAATTTAAAATACCAGACATGGAAAGAAAATTTCGCGTGTCAGGAAGAGAATAAATTCGTAGAAATAAACATACTTTAATTATTTATTATGTGTTTCTTTATTCGGTTATATGCAATTTTACTTCTTTTATTGTTAGAAAGGTAAATATATAATTTTTATATTTTCTTTATATTCTTCTATTTTTATATTCTTCTATTTTTATATTCTTCTATTATTTGTTATTTGACTGATTTTGTTTCTTATAGAAAATTAGTGCTCCTTAAATGGAAAAATTACCATAAATATAAAAAGAATTATAAGATATTTTATAAAGATTTTTATAAGATATTATATATTTTTTTATTATATATTAATGACATATGTCGATTTTGAATCATCAGATTTTTTTTATTTATCAGATTAATCAGATTTTATTTATTAACCTTTATTGCATGTCTCATATGGATGTATATTTTATTTTTTATAAATTTTCTATATTTTAAGCATTTAATAATTGATTATGTGTAATATATTTGATATCGTTATGTTTCTTGTATGTACATGAATTACATAAATATGTAGTTATTTTACCAATAGAACAACTTGTAAGTATAAGCTCAGCCAAAATTGGAATAGTTTAATAAGAATCTAATAATGAAAGGAAAATGATAAATAAATGTTTCCTGAAAATCTTTGTATTAATGTCTTTAAAATCATTGGTTTCTAGTTTTAAATTTGGGCAATGAAATATTAAATCTTTTTTTCAGTTTTATAATAATTTGTTCATATAAAATATATAAAATGTATTTTCCGTAACTTACATTTCACATAATTATTTTTTACATAGTCATTGTTCGCAAAAAATTTAAATATACCATGGAAGTTTTAATTACCTGGAATAACAATATTCTTGTTTCATAGAAAGTAAACATAATATACATATATTACATTTTAAAAGTTCTAGATTTATAGATTTATTAAAATTTGTCGTTGAATTTTATTAAAATTTGATGCTTATATATATGATGCATATAATAGAATATGTGAACATTTTATGTGAACATTTTAAACATAATGTATAGTTTAATTAAACAGTGCAATTCTTGTAAGATGATCATTAGTTCGAAATAATACAAGGAATATATACTTTATTAACTAAAAAGAAAAACATTTTTTATTAATCAAAAGAGGTAACGGTATATGTGCATTACTTACATCACCAAAAGTTGCGATGGATAAATGGAATAATTTTCCCGCTGTTATCTTAATTACATTATTTGATCGGACAATAATCAAAATGAGACCACGTGCAGTTTTGTGATGTAGATTATACCAGTCAGTCATATATGCCACTTCCCCAACACGTTTGCACTAACAAATTAACAGAAGATTTAAATTTTTAATGAGAAGAAATTAATTGAAATTAATATGAATTAGCAATGAATTAGCATGTTAAGGAGAAATATTTAATTTAAAAGTTAAGGAGAAAGGAGGAGTAAGATGATGACCTTAAGATTTATTTATTTCTCTTTATTTCTATGATGGCTTAAAAAGAATATTTTTTTCTTCATACTAAAGCATTGGTTATCATCTGTAAAATGAATTATTAAATAAATTAGAATTTTTGAAAATTTATTTTTTAAAAATGTGTCAATTTCACAATCTTTCTCACGAGTGAAAGTTATCTTGTTTGAAGTCATAATGTTTATAAATATAAATATTGCAAGAGGAATAATGAAAAATTAATATATTATTCCATATTATATATTGTTGGTTATAGTATATTATACTGTGATTTTTTTAAAGAATATGAAAATATCTACTATAATTACTTATTTTATTACTTATAAATTATAACGACAAAAGTTACATATGAGTGCATTTTAAATAAACATATTTCTTATTATTTTTTTTTCATGGAAGTTTTGTCAAATCATAAAGAATGATTTATTATTTAAAGCTTTTAATGAATTCAATATTGGCCCATTATCTGTTATTAGTTTGTCTAACAATGCGTCATCTTATCTATTTTATTATTTTACTTTTCTTTCCTTTAATTATATTAAAAAATTTTTTTCTTTCCATTAGGAGCATTATATTTTACGCTTTTCTATTAGTTGCGTCCATTAGCAGTTTAGTGAGCCCGCTCAGTGATTCTTCATTATAATATCTTTATTTTAATACGTTTTAAATATAAATCCATTGAAATAATAAAGATCAATGATCGCGTTTGTTTATTGCAATATGGTAGTTTTCTTCGCACTGATAGAATTATATTTTCAGTTTTGGGAGGGGGGGGGGGACAATCCTACTTGAGCAAAAAAATTTTCAACATTTGTATTATATTGTGCACCATTGACTGAATCACAAAAAAATATTAAAATCTGACATTTCTTGTTTCAATATCTTTATGTTCTTGACCTGTTCTGTGATAATCTCTCCGATGTAGCAAAATATAAAAATATTAAAACCCATTGATAAATACATAAAGATGTAAGACGTTATTTTTGCGGTATCGAACGTTTCCCAAGCCTAAAAATTAAAATATGATCTTATTTTTGTCGTGTTTTATATAGTTTTTGGTACATATCCTATAATAGAATAGCAATGTCTTTTGCGATTCATAAATGAATGACGTTTAGGCATGTATTATAAGACTTTCAAATTTTTACGATCGTTGACCTACCATAATAGTGTAATATCCAATTAAGCACAATGATATTGTACATCCCATTAATTCTGCAAGAGAAGCTTTGTGCATAATACTTTCCACACGTGATATAAAACTGAAACGTATAAATGTAATAGAACTTTTATTTTTTACAATGTAATTATATATATTGAATTGATGGTTTTCATGAATACAATGACAAGCTTCTCTTTTACTGATTTAAAAAAAGGAATTAATTTTTATTTTAACAAAAATATTTATTTTAAATAATCAATTAATAATAAAATTATTGTAAAAGATTTTAAAATTCTGAAAAATAAGCTTTGTATATTTTTTAATAAGTGTATAAAATACCTCAATGTTCTTAGATGATGTTCTACGATTGCGGCCAATTTTTGATTTGTATCATTTCTCTTCTGATTTTCAACAAGTTCACGTAGCCACGCATTCAAGACGTTCAACTGACCACAAGCATGTATCGCGAAAACAGCAGCCAAACTGCAAATACTAACGGTAGAAAAACTTGCTACGAACATTGTTAGATTCTGCAAAACTAATGTGATTTCATTCACAGGGCTAAATCTTGTATCGATAATCTTGCTGTAAATCGGACAATTCGTTGGATGCGTCTTGAAAGTCTCATTACCAACGATGATGGTTATAGTTTTCATTGATTTCCCTAAACTATACAGAAACAAACCGCCTTGCATAAACACCGCACAGATTATGACGACGAAACGACCGAACTTGGCATGTTGCAGCATTACTTCACGTTCGTCAATTTTTTGTATGAGACTCCAGTCTGCTTCCATATGTTGTATTAATTTATGAATGTCACGATTACGCTTGAGCAGCACCCAGTAATGTATCGAACCCAAAGCTCTATGAAGTAGCGGTCCTGAGACATTCAGTTTTTGCTTGATATTGTTTGCCTCAAATAACATATGTAACAAACATGGTATTGTTGGGACTGCTATTATGCTTGAACAAATGAAAATTTGTAGTAGTATCATGATTTTATACACTGAACTCGGCGAATTTATTTGTGGCCATGCACCGATTGGCTTGAGGAACCATCTATTAATTTGTAAACTGTAATCGATGTTTTTTTTTGGTATGTCGCTTTCTGGCACATGTTTAGAATTCGACATGATCACTGCGCGAAAGCACACGGTGTACTGCCACTGATAGACAGCTCATTGTGCCAGAGTATGAAGAAGCGCCTGCGCCAATCTTCAGAAAAGTTTGGTAATTGGTTCTACGTTACAAAGTTACTCTGGCAGGTACGTATATTCAATCGATAGAATTGTTCATCTATAGTTTTTATTGTCAGATGTCTGAGAGAATATCGCATGTCATGAGAAGTATAAGATATATTATATATTCGTGAAAGTAATAATAAAAAGTTGTTTGAACTTAGCAGATTTTCCTAATATGTTATAATTATATGTATTTTCCTATATCAATTTTCAAGGCAAATTAATTAAATGGCGATAAAAGTAAAAGTAGAATGTTTTGAAGTAAAGGAAATGTTCTAAATATATACATATATGAAAATCAGAAAAATATATTGCATTAATTTTTTAATTATTTTATGGCCTATACCATTCTAATGTAATTAATTTTATTTGTTAAACTTTAATTAAAAATATATTAAACTGTAAATGTAATCATAAAATTATTAACATTATTTGTTAATTCTTTTACTACGGTTGTCAATCTTTTGGACTAGAACAAAAATTTTAGTTGGTTGAGACTCATGTATGATTGATTCGACAAGGTTCTAATTTGTAAAAATTTGAACTTTATTGATCGCTGCATCGCGGAGTTTCAGTTCATAAATTCTGTAGATACTTTGTACAAGATAATTTAGAAATCTTGTGTTATTATAACATTCATGAGAAAAATTATAAATTGTTAATTATATGTTTGAAAGTATGTTATGTAGTTTATAATATTGATTTTTGCGTAATCATTAATCTTATTTACCAAGTTATCTTTGCACGCATAATATCCTGTGTAATATATAAGACCTATATTTCTTTGGAATTTTCCTATGTTTTATATATAATCTCATCATTGCTTGTATTTATATGATTATATAAAACATAGAATACATGCATATTTCATATCGTTATGTTTCCCCTTAGAACATGAACAACATAAATATTATTTTATTTTAATACATATTATAAGAATACAAGCCGAGCTAAAATTAAAGTTTTTAACAAGAAATTTTTACTTGAAATAATATGATGATAAGCAATGAAAATTATATTGATGTTTCTCAGTGATTTTTAAGGAACACATAAATATTTTTTTCCAGGATATACTGATCTGTTCTATATAAAATATATAATATTTGTATATTTCTTAACTTATATTTCACATAATCATCTTTTACATAATCATTGTTCGCAAAAAATTTAAATATACCATCGAAGTTTTAATTACCTGAAACAATAGTACTTGTTCTGTACACGAAGAAGAATATTTGATTGAATTAATTGAAATTCTGGAAAATGGATGATCCAGAATTCTAGTTAAGTCTATTAAACTTCCGATTAAATCTACTAAAATGCTAGTTAATGTCACTAAGAAAATTCTGAATATTAATTATCTTAATTAGAATTCTAATAGATTTAATTAGAAATCTAGTAGATTTCAAGATCAGATTTCATTTTCTATTTTAGAATTCCAATTAATTCAATCAAACATTTTTTTCCATATAGAAAGCAAAGAAAATATATATATTATACCAAATTCTATGAATTAGATATATTTCTAGATTTTTTAAAATTTGATATTTTAATCAAACATATTCATGTAATTGAATATATAGATGTTTTAAGGATAATGGATATTATAATTTTGAATGCAATTTTTATAAGATGATCATAATTTAAAATTAATAAAGTACAAGGGAAATGTATAATTTATTAATCAAAAGAAGGAACGGTATACTTTTTGCATTACTTACATCACCAAAGGTTGCGATAGATAAATGGAATAACTTTCCTGCTGTGATCTTAATTACGTTATTCGATCGGGCAATAATCAGAATGAGACCACGAGCAGTTTTATGATGTAAATTGTACCAATCAGTCATATATGCCATTTCTCCGACATCTTTGCACTATTGAATTGACATAAGATTTAAATTTATGTAATGTGAGTAATGTGGAAAAAAGAGATAATTTGGATTAAAATATTGATACAAAGAAAACAAATATTTAAATTTATTAAAAATGAAACATAATATTTTTAATTACTTTTTATTAATGTAAAATATGATATTATACTCTTTTCTCAAAATATGTATTGAATTATTAAAAAAATGTTAGTCTAATATTTTTTTGAATGTTTTTGAATTCTCGACATAATACCTGTTCAGTGATAATTCCTCCGATATAGCAAAATATAAATATATTAAAACCCATTGAGAAATATACAATAAGGGAAGATGTTATTTTCGTCGTATCAAGCGTTTCCCAAGCCTACGTAATTGAAAAATTTGTATTTAATTTAATATATTCCTCGTGTTTAATTATCTACTTAAATTTTTGTATGGGTGTAGCATGGAATACATATATTAGAATGCAATTATTATGCAAATATTATGTAAAAAATTAACACAAAAATGAAATTTAATAAAATTTAAAAACAAATTGTAGAAATATATTTCTTGAGAATAATTGATATTCATAATTTGTCAAATTGACATACTCATCATCATTCCTCTTAAAATTTATGTCAATCATTCATCTTAAAATTTATGTCTTAAAAATGCATTATTTTTATGTTTTTACTTATATAAATTATTTCTTTAATACTAATAATTGTCAAATATCAATTCAACACAAAATATTAAAAAAAAATCCTATTATGTTGAATTAATATTTGAGTAAGTTAAAAATTCAAGACAAAAGCTTCAACTTTGATTTTAATATACAAAATATTTTTTGTGTTTTAAAACACAAAATGTTTTTTACTATGAAAAAATTAAACTATAGAGACTTTAATGTATGATTTTTTGTACACATTTATTTTATAATAGAATGACTATGTTTGATTTTTCGTAATTAAATGATATTTACTTGTGTCAAAAATTTTCATTTTCTTACATCTCTAGCATACCGTAATAGTATAATATCCAAGCAAACACATGACTACAGTGCACCCGGCTAATTCCACAAGAGCGGCTTTATGCATAATACTTTCCACTTGTGATATAAAACTGAAATGTATAAATGTATATAACACAATACAATTTTTGTTATAAATAAATAAATCATCGATACATTTAACTTATATTTTTCATGAACACAATTAACAACATATTCTTTTAATAATCTATAAAAAAGAAGAAATTCATTTGTCTTAATTTTGAATATTCTCTCTTTCATTTTTAAATAATTAATTTTAATAATACTTAAAATCATCTTATATTATATAACCATATAGCTTTAGAGAATATATATTTTTTATACGAGTGTCTGCATATGAAGTACCTCAATATTCTCAAATGATGTTCGATGATAGCAGCTAGCTTTCGTTCAGCTGTATCATTTTTCTTCTTTTGATTTTTCTTCTTTTGAACAAGTTCATGTAGCCACGCATTCAGTACTTTCAATTGACCGCAAGCATGTATTGCGAAAACGGCAGCCAGACTGCAAGCACCGACAGTAGAGGAACTCACTACTAATATTGCAAAGTTTTGTAGAACCAACGCAATTTCATTTACAGGACTAAATCTCGTGTCGATGATCTTACTATAAACCGGACACGTCATCGGACGTGTTGTAAAAGTTTCATTGCCGACGTTAATGATTATGGTTTTCATTGCCTTTGCTATGCTGAATAGGATTGTACCACCATACATGATTATACCACAAATTATGGCGACAAAGCGACCGAACTTAGCTTGTTGTAGCATTATTTCACGATTATCAAGTCTCTGTATCAAACGCCAATCTGTCTCCATATGTCGTATTACTTTATGAATATCATCACTGCGCTTAAGCAGCACCCAGTAATGTACCGAGCCCATAACTCTATGAAGCAATGGCCCAACGGCACTCAGTTTTAGCTTGATATTGACTTTTTCAAATAATACATATAACAAACATGGTACCATATTGGATGCTATCATGCTTGAACAAATAAAAATATGTAGTAATATCACGATTTTGCACACTAAACTCGATGCATTTATTTGTGGCCACGCACCAATTGACTTGAGAAACCATCGACTAAATTGTAAACTGTAATCGTTATATTTTTTCGATCTATTGTATTCTGATGCACATTTGGAAGTTGACATGATCGCTGCACGAAAGCACACGGTATACTGGCACGGATGGACAATACATCGTAACGTAATATGAAGAAGCGCCTGCGCCAATCTTCATCAGAGTTTGATGAACGACCTAATATCATAAAAGTGCCCTAAGAGGGGCATATATTCAGTCGATGTAATTGTTCATGGAGAGTTTTTATTATCCGATGTCTGAGAAAACATAGCGTGTTATGAACAGTGTAAAATTATGAAAGTTACATTAATGCTCATATTCATAGTGAAGTCTTATATTAGGTGTAGTAAAAAAAAATCCATTATTTTTGCATGAAATTGAATGGAAAAATAATGGATTTCTTTTTATTACCTAATATTTAAGATTTCTTTAAATTTATCTTCAGACGTTCTACAAATTATTTTATTAGCATCTAAAGATAAATTTAAAAAAGTCTTATAAATATAAGGTCTGACTGTAAATATTGGCATAATAAAAAAAAATTCTCTATTTTAGTAAATTTTTTAAATTTAGTAATATGTTTTAATCGTATTTATTTACTAATTAACTAATTAGGATAAATTGGCGATAAGAATTAGAATATCTTGAAATATAGAAAATATAATGAATAGATATAATTACTTCTCTAATATAATAATATGATCATTCTATTACTTATAATTATAAA